ATAAAGTATTAAAACACCATTTTTTTAAACCACTGAAAATCGTTAGGTTGCGTCGTTCCAAAGTGAAATTCAGTTCGGCTTACAAAAAACGAACCTACCAGGAGACTTTCGAGTGCTGTTGCATATTGCACTACTGGGATCGGCAATTTCGAACGTCAACAAAAATTACAGCATCGATGAAAATAGAAATAACACGTGATGTTGAGCTTATTGCTCAACAAGTGTCAATCAACTGTTATTTAACTATTTTCAACGATGTTGTAATCTTTGGTGAGTTCGAAGGGGGTTTTTCTGAATAATTAACTTATCGGTGATGTGCCAATATCGATATTTTTACCGTTCAGCCAATAATTACGTTTGCAGTTGTAAAAAAAAATAACATCTTCTGAATAATAGTTCTTTGCTATTCTTACATCTTTCATGATTTAAAACGCTGTCCTTACGCGTTGGAAATGAAAAAACAAATTAAAAAAATTAACTATTTAATTAATTAAAAATAACAAAGTTGGACATGAACATGACTTGAAATGACAAAAGCGGGTGTCAATGTCTTAGTCATTTATTCCCCGTTTTGATTTCTATGTTACTGAAGTTAGCCTCTATACCAAAACAACCTCTCTCAGAACTGTCATCCCTTTCGCACAGAATAATAGTTATCTTCTTGGATATCCAACAACAAAATTCATTATTTGATTCAGAGTTCGTTGACGTTCTAAAATGCAACCATTGCCCGTGCGTAAATACAGAACCACACATGTACTTTTCGTTACTTATGGATATTGGTCAACAGATTGATGTTAATTTTGCTCCGCGCTACAGATAGGCATTTATGACCGATAATTAATCTCCATTCAGAAGAGAACTAGAAGGAAAAATTTCGAAAACAGGGAACTGGATAACATGATATAGAGCAAGACCCCAAAATATCGTAATTGTTGAAGATAACAACAAAAAATACGAAGAATCAAGTAAGTCCTACATTACAAATTGCCCATGACGTCACTATTTCGAAGTAAAATTATTCATTGCGAAGGTAAAGGAATCATGAATTTCGGGACCACAACATCTAACCAAATGATAAACGTTCAAACTCGGCCTGCAATCACAAATCTTCTACGTACCACAACATTTTATAGATCCGTGGAGATGCTCATACAAAGAGGAATGTTTTGACTGCAGGGCATGTATCAAATACCAATACGTGTGAGGGTCTTTTTGCTCCACAACAGCGAGTAGCTCCGTCACTTTTCTCTCCATAATTGTAAACAGGTTACTGTTGAAAATTCTTTCGTGATCTTGCGTGTCGAACTTGTGATGGGCCCTCATAAATCGCACGATATAGAACAATTGATCTTCGTTCCGAATCATCTATGGGAATCGAATCAAAAACTCGTCCAGGCCTTCTCGAGAAATTTGAAGGTATTTTTCGATGCGTTTCGACGCTCCTGGACTAAACTGGTTTTCGTCGTGGAGGAATCGTTCACACTCCTCCAGGTTGAAATGATTCGGCATGGCTGAACACGATTGTCTTCACTTCAGTGCTCTACAGTTGTGCTGTCTGCTGCGCAACGACTTTTGCTAGTGAAAAATGCCCAAACAATTACTCTTAAATGACCAAAACTTCCGCAATATCAAAATAGGAAATCTACGAAACACGTAGTCGTGGGAACGGCCGCTTCTGATTGGCCAGATGTTGCCAAAACAGGTCAAAACAATTGAGCTTAAGCTAAATCTTGCTTCTCTTTATTCTTTTCAGGAATTGCCGATGGCGGATTACTTCTGCTGCTGAAAGCTAAGCAGTTGTGCAAAGATGAACAGTTCAAAGCTTCGCCGGGTTGTTGCCAGAAGTGGAAAAGGTGCCATTCCATCAGCCTTTGCACCAAGACAACATTTGCGGAGCGACTTCCACAAGATCTGGAGGAGAAGACTATCCAACTCCAATGGTTCGTGATTGCCGCTCGCATGGATGAAACTGTACAATTCGAGTCTTTATCGAACAGAACCGTTTACCTCTAAAAAAAAAAGTAGCCTTTGGATAAGTGTCTCAACAAACCGTGTAAAGACAACATCCGGAGACAGAATCTTTCCTGGATGATGACTGACTTCCCTTCCTTCCGGAGGAGATGATGAAGAAATCATTTAAAACATGCAGGATTTCGAACGCGCCCGACTGCTCAGAAGATGATAACATCTGTACCGATGACATGCCTAAACTAGCCGACGATGAGATGGCCTGGGACGACAAGTTTGAGACCGATAACAAAGAAGAGGAATAAACACTTCATCCTTGAAGCTATCACTAAACAAAACGGCTGCTTTAGGAGTCACCACTTAAATAAAAGTTATTGATCAACAATGATTTAGCGTAAGACTAGCAATTTGTGTTCGTTGATGATCGCTCGGCTGATAGCCGAATAAACATTCGATTTACGATATTTGTGGGTAATTGAGCTTATCACATAAGATATGGCAGTCTCCTACATTTATTCTGAGACTGCGGCTTTGTTTTAGAATAGCATGGGGTTATAGGGAAATCAATTCAAATTAGCGGCGAACAATTGCTCTAACCTTTAGAAGAGAATCATGATATCAGACGACTCAACAAAAATGATCGACTATACAGGAATAAGAAAACAGTCTATATCAGTTTTATTCGTAGCGTTCTATACAAGAGATGCATGCATGGTGATGGAATTTTAAGCTGTCTAATCATATAGAAACATGACTTAAATAATGATTGTAACAATCAATCGCAAAATGTTAAAAACTCTTGGCATTAAGTGGTGATTTGTGTTTGATTTAAGGTATTGACTTTGGTAATAATCAATTAACGTTGTCTTGCTCCACTCTCTTGTAGATATCAAAGATCTCTGAAAAACATGATCAAAGGAAAATGAGGAATACCAGGATGCAAAAATGTAAAATCGTAAATATGTACAAAGGATTTGTAATTCCGGACGTTTGAGGAGATATGCTACAAAGCATTGTCTTAAGGAACCGTCGTCAAACAAAGTCGCTCGTAAGTTCAGCCGCTGGCGAGTGTCTTTGCGGTCGTTTCTCTCTTACAGAGCTCACCAAACAAGCCATGCTTCCGTTGCTGTTAGGTGTTGAGCTCAAGAGTGATGAAGTGGATCCGCCAAACAGAAGGGATGAAGAACGACCCAGATGCCTGTTTCCAGCCTCCATGTTGGCGGTTTTCATCTGTTAAAGCTGACCATAAAGTTTACGTATCTACTCCTGAAAACAAACAGGTGATAATTTGGATCAATGTCAGTAACTGAATAACTGCCCACCTACCCCTCCCCTGACCCAAAATTAGCTCCGACTTGTTATCAGTTGATAGTTGTCTGGTTAGGATAGGGGTAGGGGTAGGGGGCGCAGTTGCGTCGAAACTGACATTGATCCGACGATAATTTAAATAAAAAGGGATTTTATTTTAAGCTGAGTTATTCATTGTAAGTTTAAATAGGTTGATTGACGCCCCCTAAGGCTCTTAAGTCACAGTTTGAGAATATTTGATCAATAACTTCTTATTTGACCATTTCCCCAAAATGGCTCTTCAGGGCCAATCGTGATAAGCAAAAGCAACAAACATTACAAATAACATAAGTTCTTCTCGAATTCCTCGAGGTTTCGCAACATTGTAAACTTAGCCTGTAAATTTTTTGGCATAGTTACGATCTTCACATTCTTTCGACCTCAGTAACCGTTTGGAATACCTTGACGTTTTTCATAACCCACGATTAAGGAGTTAGTTGTAAAATTTGAAAGCAGATCATTCTATCAGAGCACTTCTAGACTTCCAGTTCCCTGAAAAAAGCGTTCTAAGTTATTCTAAAAGTTTTGTCAGCGACGAACCTCCAATTTCCCAGACCTAGATTTCCCACCACCTGTGCGAACCCCGTAGAAGGTTGATAAACTGGAAACTTCTTACCAGTCATTTTAGCGCTGCTGTTCGTCAAGGGAGGTGGAATAAACCATGGAAATGATTTTTACTTCTATTTTTACCTTGTGAGCTCACAATAATTTGGAATGATGACTAAAATAAAGACTTACATTAAGGTCTTCATTTTCTTGGTTCAAGTTCACCGTCCCTTCAGAGGACTGTCCGGTTGCCATAAAAATTTGAAGAAATTTAGATTTTCATTTAAAACGAAATCGCATTTGTTATTCTGAGTCAAACTTCCGGTCCTCCAGGAGATTTTTTACGTTTTCTTTAAATATCTGAGGACGCGAGCAATGTGAGGTCGTCTACGACTCTAGGAACAATTGGAGGTCGCTCAGTTTCCAGAAAGTCAACAAGCTGTTGTTGAAAAAGCCAATCAAAATACCCAGTTGGAATTCAGCCAGGAGTGGCGTGGCAAGATTAAGCGGTACAGGCTGGTTGTAATATCGGACAGTGAAGGAGATATGTTGTCTGAAAACACAATTTTAGAGGTCTACTGTTGAGTAATATTTTACTCAATATTTACTTGGGAAGATCTATCAACGTAAGACAGAGAGGTGTGGTTAAGGAGGCTTTTAATCTCTCAGCAGGAGTGTAGATCCATATGAAACCCACACGTAATTAACTCTGACAAGGCCTGTGGTGGCTATTACTTCTGACGACTTCTTTCCTCGTTTTTTCTTGATCCACATCTTAATAAACCGGGCCGTTACAAAACAGGGCACGACGTGATAGCATTGAGGGAAAAAAAAAAAGAAAGGAGGCCTGGAACTGGCGGCTACCCAATTCATACTTCCGTGGGAAGTGGATAGTGAAAAGTATAACTGACAATGAGAAAGGATCGGTAGAGTACTATGGAGTGACAAAAATATAAATCTCCAACCCCCCTCCCAAAAAACAACAAATGATGACCGGTCCGCCCTGGCTAATCCTATTTAGCATGCAATATTTCTTAATTTGAAGGGGAAAAGCACAAGTAATTCAAAATATCAGTTTCATAACAGATTTTATTTACTTTAAACTCAGGAAAGATACAAGGTATTTTTATTTCAAACTTAGCCACTAAATCTTGATCAAGAGACTATAATCTCTTGGTCATGATGCAGTAATTCTGGCGAAACTTCAGTCAACCCTTAATGAACACTTACAGTTTTTTCTTGTATTTTTCTACTGCAGGCCTTCGGCAGGTGATTACGCTTAAGTCATGCTACTGAATATTTACATTAAGTTTACCTTCTACCATTCTGTTTTGAACTTTATCAAACTTTTACACATGCGCAGACGTCTGACCACTGTTTTGACACTTACAGGTTGCTACTACGTATCATCTTCAAGATCCTATTTGGACTCCTGTGAACATCAGAGCAATTGTTTGAGTAGCCATCGTGCTACGTCATATAGTATATACATACGATCCATAGGGGCGCCTACCTTGAAATTCAAATGTCTTTTCCAGGTTCTTAAACTTTTGGTTATATAAGACATTTTCATTAGTTTCATGGCAGTTTTTGAAAACAGTAGAGTTTTGCTTAGGTCAGAGGGTTATAACCATGATCAAAAAGTTACAGTAAATAAACAGGAACAAAAAATCAAATGCCGGAAGTGAATGGAAAATGAAGAGGGTGATCGCTGACAAGCCGATGAAAGCAGCTTTGTAGGCTCGCTTCCTCCTGGTACAAGTGCGGAGCATCTCTTCTGCCAACTCTGGTGTCCAGTCTTTTGTAGGATTCAAGATATCTTTAACTTTTTCGAGTTTCTTGGGTTCACCAGACTCGACGATGTGAGAGTGCTGTGGAGGAAAGTCTGTTGAGAGAGACGAAGGAAAGATTTAGAAACTGAAAAACAGGCTCTATGTTATATTTGCAGGTAACATTGATAACAGTTGTAGTATTGAAATTATGAATTTACGAATCCGTAAAGATGCCGTAAAGTAAGCGTTAAGATCCTCTTTACGCGTCTTTACGAACTTCTTTACACTTTCGTAAAGATTGTCTTTACGCCTTGAAAACGGTAGCGCGTAAACATCACGGAGAGAGAGTAAAAACGCCATCTTTACGTGCCTTGTAAAAAGTCATATAGAGAACATTTACGATATTTTACGGCGACTGTATTATTTTTATTGCTATCAAAGACGCGTAAAGTGTAAAAGCGAAGCTGGTCAAAATACCACGGTAATTCTACGGAAGATGGATGAGCAATAATTATTTCACTTCTTTGAGTATTTCTCCAAATAGAAAGTGCTTAATTATATCCATCTTGATCCTTATCCTTTTACGAACATTGAATATCCCTTACGCAGTCTTTCCCTGCATTTACGCATCTTTACGGAACGCGGAATTTGTCCTTAAAGAAGAGGCTTCATCTCTACGTTCTTTACGCAAGAGTTAAAGATGCGTAAATTTGCGATTTTATGCTGCGATTATAACAATACAAAACTGCATGAATTCAGGAGTGCGTCCGACGCTACTTTTATTATCTTATGTTATCAAAGTTGTACCCTTCCAATCAAAATGACGCCGAAGCCACGTGTACTCTCACACTAAATTGCAAATGAACTATTTGTAACAGTATATTGCGTTTAGAATTGACGGAACTCACTTTGCCTCGCAGTTCTCATCCTTTCGATGAACGATCTTCCAGTGGAGACTTTGTCCTCAATTGCTTCACACAAAGCTTTAAGTAAGGGGACTACTACTTTCCCTTCGTTTTCCAAATCTGCAAAGCAAGCATTTTATTTTGTATCTATCCAGACGCAGTATGTTATAAATTACAAATGAAACTGACCAAAAGCAGCTCACAGTTTCCTCTTCCTCTCCCCCATTCCGCCCTTTCTCCACTTAATCCAGGCTTTCAAAACTATTGTCTCACTCACACTTAAGTAAAATAAAATCATATCCTCATCTCACCTGAAAAATGTAACTCCTCCTCTTTCTCTCTATGTTTTATATCTTTACACACTGCAATCAAAAGAATAGAGAAACGTTTCAAACAGCTGTGGTACTGGTCCTAGGGATGAGGTACTTAACAAAAATTTCCCTGCAGTGAAGGATATCATTCTCTTACAGCGAGCAGCAGAGGCCTTTTTTCTATCAATAGAACGTAAGCCTAGTCGAGAGAACATAAACTCGTGTTTTCTTAATCCTGAGCCAACCTAATAACTCAGATTGAGTGTATGAACTTTCAACTTCAGAATCAGTCAGGAATTGCAGTTTTAATTTGGAACAACTAAACTATTCTTTCCGTCTGCCAGGGCCTGTAATTTCGTTTTTCGAACGGCCGCTTTTTCACGTCATTGATTTCCTCAATCGAATCAATCGTGCGACGATCAATTATCGCATGAAGTATTAAAACACATTTTTTTAAACCACTAAAAATCGTTAGCTTGCGTCGTTCCAAAGTCAAATTCAGTTCGGCTTACAAAAAACGAACCTTCTTGGAGACTTTCGAGTACTGTTGCATATTGCACCACTGGGATCGGCAATTTCAAACGTCAACAAAGATTACAACATCGATGAAAATAGAAATAGTACGTGATGTTGAGCTTATTGCTTAACATCAAGTGTTATTTCTATTTTTATCGATGTTGCAATCTTTGGTGAGTTTGAAGGGGGTTTTTCTAAATAATTAACTTATCAGTGATGTGCCAATATCGATATCAAAAACATGCTTTTTACCGTTCAGCCATTAATTACGTTTTGCGGTCTTCAAAAAGAAATAAGCTCTTCTGAATAATAGTTCTTTGCTATTCTTACATCTTTCATGATTTAAAACGCTGTCCTTATGGGTTGAAAATGAGAAAACAAATAACAAAGTTGGACATGAACATGACTTGAAATGACAAAAGTGGCTGTCCATGTCTTAGTCATTTATTCCCCGTTTTGATTTCTATGTTACTGAAGTTAGCCTCTATACCAAAACAACCTCTCTCAGAACTGTCATCCCTTTCGCACAGAATAATAGTTATCTTCTTGGATATCCAACAACAAAATTCATTATTTGATTCAGAGTTCGTTGACGTTCTAAAATGCAACCATTGCCCGTGCGTAAATACAGAACCACACATTTACTTTTCGTTACTTATGGATATTGGTCAACAGATTGATGTTAATTTTGCTCCGCGCTACAGATAGGCATTTATGACCGATAATTAATCTCCATTCAGAAGA